ACAGCTTGTGGGGATGGGGGTGGGCTGGCTCGTTTGCCCAGTCCTCTCTGTGTCCGACCCCTCTGTCCCTCTCCCCACGCCAGGATCTGCTCTTTACTAGGTGTGCCTCTTACTCCTCCGGTCACCTCTTTGTCTCTCATGTCCTCTTCTATCTTATGTGGCTACACGAGTAGCCAAATTTAACTGAGGTATAACGGGCATAGAACATTATATTCAGGTTACAACATAATGATTCGGTATATGTATGCATTGTGAAATGATCAGGCAGTAAGTCTAGTTAACATCCATTCCCACTCAGTTACAGAATTGTTTTTCTTGGGATGAGAACTTGTAAGATCTACTCTCTTAGCAACTTTCAAATATGCACTACATTATTATGGACGGTAGTCAGCATGCTGTCCATTACATCCCCACGACTTACACTTCTTTTATAGCTGGAAGTTTGTACCTTTTGATTCTCTCCATCCATTTCACCCACCCCCCACCTCAGGCAACCATCAGTCTGTTCTCCACACCTATGAGCTGGTTTTTCTGGTTTTTGTTTTTAAGTTTCCACATACAGGAGTCCCCCTTATCCTCAGCTTTGCTTTCTTATTCTCCCCCCTCATAAAGGTAATTCAGTGGAGCCCCGGATGAAGTACAGCCTAATAATTAAGGGCTCAAGGGGCTCCTGGGTGGTGCAGTTGGTTAAGTGGCTGCCTCTTGATTTCGGCTCAGGTAATGATCTCAGGGTCGTGGGATCGAGTCCCACGTTGGGCTCCACGCTCTGTGTGGACTCTGCTTGGGATTCTCTCTCTCAGCCTCTGCCCGTCCCGTTCATGCTCACTCTCTCTCTCAAGATAAATAAATAAATCTTTTAAAACAACAATCAAGGGCTCAAATTCTGGGGCTTGAATATCAACTCTGTCCCTTACTATTTGTGTGGAATCAGTTTTCTTATCTGTAAAACAGGCATAATAATACCTACCTCTTTGCTGTGGGAATTAAATGAGATTAGATATGCTAGTCTTAACACAATGTCTGATACACAATAAATATTCAATAAATACTAGTTGTCACTTTTCTTATTTTTCCTCTTCACCCTAACTTTCCCACTTCAAAAATATTTGTTTAGCTGTGCTTGCTTTTGTAAACTGCTTCAAAAAAATTTTTTTGGAGCAAGGCTGCGTATCAATGAATACTCCATATTGCTAGTGCCTTTTTATTTTTATTTATTTTTATTTTTTATTTATTTATTTTTTAAAGATTTTATTTATTTATTTGAGACAGAGAGAATGAGAGAGACAGAGAGCACATGAGAGGGGGGAGGGTCAGAGGGAGAAGCAGGCTCCCTGCCGAGCAGGGAGCCCGATGCAGGACTCGATCCCGGGACTCCAGGATCATGACCTGGGCCGAAGGCAGTCACCTAACCAACTGAGCCACCCAGGCGCCCAGCTAGTGCCTTTTTAAAGAGTTCTACCAATGTATGAGAGGGATTCCAATGTAGGGGATGAAGTAGACAATAAGGTCGGTTGTAATATAACAACATCTATCCAAAGACATAAAGTGCTCATTACCTTTGACACAGTAATTTCATCTTTTTGACTCTACACATGAAAAAAAGCTGGAACAATTTTACATACGAGAAAAGCTCACTCACAGAATTTTTTCATAGTTCTGTTTATAACAGCTTAAACTTAAAAACAATTTGAAGGTCTTTTAAAGGAGAAATGGCTAACTTACTCAAGAAAATTTTATTCAGTCATTAAAATAGTGTTTTTGAAATTATATGGTAGCATGGCAAATACTTATGACGTAATACCAAGGGGAAAGAACAAACTGACTTAGTTGTGTCTGTAACATGACTACAGCAGCCTAGGATGATCTGTAAACAAAGAGCCTGGAAGGAAATATACTAATGTGTTAATGGATTTTGAATGGAGAAACAATGGGTGAACTTCAAATCCCCTTTTCCACGTGCTTCTGTAATTCCCAGTTTTCTTTAATAATGAATTTCCCACCCACACACAATGCCATTTAAGGACTCTGTTCATAACTCATGGATAAACACAGAGGACAGCTCAGATTGAACTGTTTTCTTTGGACAGGATGTCATCATTATTAAGAGAAATTCAATCGCCTAAGCTATGATAGTGGGATAGGGTGTAGCTTGGAGGCTTATGTAATGGGGTAATTTAATAGAGATTTCTGTCAGCAGCCTTACTTGGACTGATAACGTGAGAGAAAGCAGAACACCTTTAGAGAAGGTGACGGGGAGGCAGGGTCTTTGTACCACTCACGGAAGTTACAGAAATTCCAAAATCAGAGAAATGGAATTCCAGAGCAGAATTCATAGCCCATTAGGGGAAAAAAAAAATTCCTTCAAACCTTATCTCTCAGTGGTAAGCAAAATCCAATTAAAACATGTTTTACTGTTATTCCTTTTTAGTATTATTTATTTTTTAGCCTACAGCCATTAAAGACATTTTAGAACTCAATGAGTTATATAATTTTATGCTGTGTATTGTCTTTTCTGATTACAAATTTGAAATATACAAAATATATAAATTAATGAATGCAATTCATTATTAAACATAGCACCCAGAAAAGGACCCTTGTTAGTTAGGATTTCTGATGTGAAATTTCTCTCTCTTTCTGATAGAAATACAGCTAACATTCCTTGAGTGATTACCAAGTGCATGGCGCTGCTTGGAGAATTTTACATGTGATAACTAAATTTATTCTCGCAGCAAACTTTTGAGGTGGATACAGTAACTCTCTCCATTGCATTGCTGAGATTCTTGTCTAACACCATGCAGCTGAGGGGATTGGGGTGGGCTGCAGAGCCAGGACGTGAAACCCAAATGTTCTGGCTCCTAGTCCATGCACTTAACCTTTTTCTCCACAGCTTTAATGTATTTATAACTACACTACAGTGGGATCATACTACACCTAATGTCTTGTGACCTGTTTTTTGTTTTTTTTTTTTTAATGTATCTGAACATCATTCTAGGTCAATGGAGATCAGTCTACTTCAGTATTTTTAAAAGCTGCATTGTATTTAATCGTGTGGTATCTCATAACATATTTAACCATAATCCACATGGCTGGACATTTAAACAGCAATGGAATGCACATTCTTACATGAAGATGTGCCTTTGAGAGATTATTTCATTAGGATAAATTCTTGGATCAGAAACATCTGGGTCAAAATAAAGATTTTTCAAGGCTTTAAATGCCAGTTGCTAAAAGGCTGTCAAGCAAAGTTGTGCTAATTTATATCCCCCCGGCACCGTAGGAGAGTGTTTTCCTTTACATCCTAGAGTGTTTTTCAAACTTGTGCAGCTTGACCTACTGTAAGAAATACATCTTGCATAGTGATTCGGTATATACACATTAAACAAAATTTACTATTTTCCTGACCTCATGCAATGACCTTTTTCTCTCCTCTCCTGTCCCTCTCCTTTTCAAAATTTTCTTAAATGCTAGATATGGTGCACTACGTTAATTACATAATCCACGAATGGGTAGTAACTCACAGTTTGAAAAACACTATGTCAATGCTTCAATATTAATATTCTCTTTAGTATTTGCCTATATGATAATCTGAAATAGTGGCAAGTTATTGTTTCTATCTTAATTCTTTTAATTACTGGAGAGGTTGAACATTTGGAAAATCATATTTTTGGAAAGATTAAATTTAAGTTCATTGCTTCTCAACTTCTACTGCACGTTAGACTTTTAAAAAATCCTATCCTTTAGTTAAGTGCTGAACCAAATAATTTCTAGAGATTGGGCCCAGGTATCCAAATTTGTGGTCAAGGCTGAGAACAAATGCTGTAGATGGCTATAGGAAATGAGAGATTTATGTGATGGTTTTATTCATGACATACCTAGATTGTTACTTCGTAAAACTGCATTTGGTTTGATGTCCCTTTCAATTTGATACTTATTTTAAAATTTATTTGGCACACATTTGAACAAACAATTTAAATATGATTAACTTTCTAAAAGGTTTGATTCAATTGTAAGAGTTCTGAGTACTAAGCATGTGTCACTTCCAAGGGTCACTCTTTATTTAAATTAAAGACCTCTAATATTTTTTGCAAGTCTACTGTGTGCAAAGCACAGTACCAGACCTGTTGGGTTAGAATATGAGCCAGCAGCTCACCGTGTAATAGGCACTCCAACCTATGAGTGCAAATAACTATAATACCAGAAAGAAAGTGATAATTTCGTAATCATATGAATTTAGAAATAAGACAAAAAATTCTGTCTCCAGTATTTATTTATTTGAGAGAGAGGAGAGAATGAGAGAGAGCACGAGAGCAGGGTGAGGGGCAGAGGGAGAAGCAGACTCCCTGCTGAGCAGGGAGCTCGAGGTAAACACTACATATTTTTAAAATATCGTAGTTATCTGAAGGGGTGACTCAACCCCATCTTAAGTCTGAAGTTAAAGAAGGGTCCTAATTTTGGCATATGAGCTGTTAGCTGCACAAATCACAGTTATGCATATTTAAGTCTGATTTAGTAGTGAATTATGGCAAGGAAACTCATGGGAGATAGTGTAGATTCTCATGAATAAAACCACATTATGGAAGAACCGAGGTGCTATTTAATATATCAGGGTTTCATCCAATAGAGAATTCCAATTGTCTCCTGGACAGTCCACCTAGATGGTCCTCTTGAACCCCAAACTTAACATGTCTCCCCAATAGAAATCTTAGCTGCCTCCTGCCTCTTCCTCAAGCCATGTTCCATCCTCTAATTGTGGTGCAGTGGACAATTGTGTGCTTTGCAATAAGACAGAGGTTACTTTCCATCTCCAAAGCTGTCTCCTTGGCTAGGGAAATACACCCCTTGCTGGCCCAGACCAGTCTGGGGGATTGTGGGTGGTCTGGGGGCCTGAGCACTGGCTGCAGGTGCTGACCGTGTGATCCCATCTCTGAAAGCTCAAGAAGGCCAGCCTGGGACGACACTCCCCCTCCCTCCCTCCCTCCCTCCCTCCCTCTTCCTGTTTTTGCTTTTCTGTTGTGCATGGAAAGGACTTGAGAAGAGGAGGGACGCTCACGGGAAGCTCTCAGAAGGCCACTAGGACCAGCCTCTGGTCCCAAGACTGTCCTGGAGAAGTCAAGACAGCAGAGTAGTAAGTCTGCAGAGGGTATCAACTTGATGGCTGGCGTGAGGGAGAGATACAAATGGATTTCAAAAGTGTTCCAGAGATTGGTGAATGGCAGGTGACTAAGAGGAGCTGGAGGTTGAAGTCAAAGGGAGTCATTCATGCTTTCTAATGGCATCTGTCTCTAGTCTGCTGTTTGGTCATATGTGGCCCTCCTCAAGTCTCCAGCTTCCTCTACTCCTGCTCCCTGCGAAGTGTGCGGGAGTAGAAAAAGCTTTGTCCTTGAGGAAGTTACCTAACCTTTCTGTGCTTCAGTTAACGCAACTATAATAACTGGATAGATGACAGCCCGTTAGAAGGGGCGAGCTCTGATGGCCAGGTTCAGGCCCCTGGACACATCCAGCTGGGCAAGTGCCCAAGATCTCAGATGATCACGGGGGTTGTCCACAAGGGGGGCCGGGGTGTGGCAGGTGGGCTGTGAGCTTACATAGGGTCCTGCCATCTTCTCTCGTGGTGTAACATGTCCACCCTCGGGCAGCACAGCCCTTGGCAGAGATGTCGCAGAACCGTTGTGGATCCAGTCAGATGATGAATTGGCTGATCAGTTTTTACTTGCTCTTCGCCTACTTAGGGAGAGGACCAGGGGAAAGAACAGAAATTCCAACAGTCTTGGAGGCTCAGATTATTGAAGTACAGATTTTCCTCTTGTTGGCCATGGTTACTAGAGGTCAATGATCAAGTCAGCAAACCCAGACGTGGGACTTTTAGAGCTGAAAAATGGAAAACAAGGGAGAGCTGCATCCTGTTGGGTCACATCCTGTTCACGAAGGCAGGAAGTAGAGCAGCAGACCAAGATGGTTAGAAAAACATGACGCTTATGAAGCATTTGCACGCTATGTGTGTATGTACGTTTCGGTATACAATTTTTTAAGGCGCTGTGAATCAAGGCTCATATATCATGCTTTTTGGAAGTTCTTAAGCTTCTTGTGAAATAAAACTGGCCAAAAGCCAACTCTTTATTATATGACTGTTGCTCCATCAGTAATCATACCAATCTAAGAAATAAAGCAATATCCTATTGCCGTCTGAAAACTGGTCATAGGGCACTCTTTCCTCCAGGAATAGGAATGCAAGGCTGGGAACTTCTCAGCGGCAGTCTTAGCGAGTATGAGATTGTGGCTCTTGCCCAGAAATAGGAGCTTTATTGCCTCTCTCAAAAGGAAGAATGGATTGTCGCAACGTGGGCAGTCTGCAGTGGGTCTCCCAGGAGGCACCAGGCTCGTGTGGAATCGCTGGCACATAGCATCCCTGCTCAAAGCACAGCTTGGCTGTTCTTTATGCAGCTGCCTCAGCTGACAAAAGGGCTTCTTGGCCTCAGGCATGCAGAAGTCCCGTCTGCTCCCTTCTCTTTACCTCCACTGCTCTCACTCACCTTCTCTTTCTTCTCTCCCCTTCTCTTGCATGTGTTTCTTGGTGAGATGCTGCTTTGCATGAGGGTGGGATTAAGGAGAAAGCCACTGGCATCTTGGGTTGGATGTTGATTGTTAGCATCCTTCAGGAAGCGATTCGAGAGGCCCATTCGAGCTCTGGACTATCTGGTCACTCAGGACTGCGGTGCCTCTAAGATAAGGCAAGCATTCAGGATGGTGGTGCTCGAACTTCTGGATTGCTGGTGCCCCGAATCTGCCTTTAAGATTTAAAAACCATGTGCTTTGCAACTAGTTCTCAGTGGTTTTCTGACTTTCTTCCTGAATTTCTTTAGTCTGTGTTAACTAATTGTGCTAGGAATGTGCCACAGTTACTAGGAAATTAGCTCTTGGGAATATCCATGTGTCATGGAGCCTTCCAGGTAGGTAGGCCTGCTAAAGGCTTCACTTATCATCCAGTGGTTTCAGATTTTAGTGTTTAGAGAAAGAGAGAGAGAGAAAAAAAGAAAAGAAAGAAAGAAAGAAAGAAAGAAAGAAAGAAAGAAAGAAAGAAAGAAAGAAAGAAGAAAAAGAAAGAAGAAAGAAAGATATTGATGGTGTTAAGATCTATGCATGCATAGTGTAGTTTTTGTTCTGAAGATTTTACATAAGGGAAATCCAACAGGAATATTGCATGTAATCTTATCCTAACATGAAATTATGTTTTTATTTGTCCATATGTTCTTCTAGTTTCTGTGATAGAACCTATTTACAATATCCTAAGTATTTTATATTTTCATGAATATATATTCATGCATGAGAGATTTTTTTAAAAAATGACAATTAGACCCATTTTTATTGCTTATGGACAGAACAGCTGAATGACCACAGTAAGTTGGGGGTTTCCTTTCTGGCTTTGCCCCTGGGCCTCCAACATTTCAGTATTTCAGTTCAGTCTGTGCAAAGTGGGAGCTTATGACTAGTGACCTTACAAATCTACCAGGTGGAAAAATCACTGGTGCATGATTTCAGAATGATCAAGATGGAAAGATGTGGTTCTCAAATGCTGTGAGACTTATAGAACCTCAAGATCCGTGCAGGTCACTAGGCAGACCTGCCCCCCTTCTGCCCTTACCCCTTTACTGCTTATTTTTCTTTTTTCTGCTCATTGTTCCCCACCGTTCCTTCCTCAAAATCCTGTGTCCATCCAAGAGTGAGGATCCTACTTGCTCATCCCTGTGGTGCCTGTTATATGATTGGCAATGGGCTAATTACCGTTTTTCCTCCCGTCTCGTTTACTCCTGCTCCTTGATGAGGGAGGCACCCTTATCCCCGTAGCCCCACTTCGCAGAAGAGGTAACTGCGTTAGTGCTGAAGTCTCTTGCTCCAGATCTGTTTGTAAGGGATGGAGCTACTGTTGTCATGCAGATCTTTGCAATTACATCTTTCTTTCTTTTTAGTTTTTTAAAGATTTTATATATGGATTTGAGAGCAAGAGAGAGCACACACAGCGGGGTGGGAGGGGGGAAGGGAGAGGGAGAAGCAGACTCCCCGCTGAGCAGGGAGCTAGATGCAGGGCTCGAGGGGCCTCCATCCCAGGACCCTGAGATCATGACCCGAACCAAAGTTGGAGGCTTAACCGACTGAGCCACCCGGGCACCCCTCTTTGTGTTTATATCTTTCTAATTATAGATCAAATGCTTTCCCAACACTACCTTTCAATGCAGAGTCTGGTTCAGAAATGGTAGAAATAGAAGGCATGTTTTAGAGTCAGCTGCTTAAGGCACCTGAGTGGCTCAGTTGGTTAAGCGTCTGCCTTCGGCTCAGGTCGTGATCCCAGGGTCCTGGGATCGAGCCCCGCATCGGGCTCCCTGCTTGGCGTGAGGCCTGCTTCTCCCTCTCCCACTCCCCCTGCTTGTGTTCCCTCTCTTGCTGTCTCTCTCTCTCTGTCAAATAAATAAATAAAATCTTAAAAAAAAAAAAGTCAGCTGCTTATTATTGGAATGATAGGATTGCTCCCTATTGTCTTTTGTTTTTGTACTTTGAATTTACTGTCACTGCCTTCTACAAGCTAGGGACATTCATTAATAGACATAATTGTTTAGAGAATATGGTTTTATGTAATAGGTAAAGGTATTTCAGAAATGTAAACTGAAGGAAAAGAAATACGGCATGTTTCCAGAAGTCTCGGTTCCTTTTTTTTCCTTCTTTTGTAAACTATTTGGTTGGCTCCATTTAGAATCTAATGTTAACTGCCTGGAGGATAAAAATAACTTCTTTTGTAGTTTTACCTCATACAGCATCAATGTATTGTGGCTTTTCATGGAAAGATCCATTTTTAGAAAGAATGCAAGGCACCCCAGGCCCATGAGTAGTAACTGTTTGGCAAGATGATGCTTATGCTAGATAATCACACTCTAGAGTCCTTCTTTGGAGCCTTACGAATTGTTTTTTATGCAATTTGTACGTGTCGTTTTGTAATATGTTGAAACCCCACTTAATAAAAAAAAACCCAAAGGATATATGTATAGGGCCTTGGGAATTCCTTTTACTTCCTGTACAATGACTCACAACTTAAATGTACTAAGTTGGGTAGAGGAAGTATCTCTCTATTATTGTCTCACAAAAATATAAACTGTAAACCAGGAACAGAAACTGCAGACCTCTGCACGCTCCTCTCCCCTCCCTTAAGCAGAGGTGGTGTCTGTGGATAGTGTTTGAAGTCAAAATGATGGATGGGCCATGAATGGGATGATCCTGGAAAGAGAAAGGGAAACATTTTCTCTCCTGTGCTTAAATTCATGACATTTGCCTTTTATTTTTGGTATGACTCTCCCCAGGGTCAGAAGTTCTGTCATCTAATTCAAATACAGGCAGAACTGATTCCCTACTCTGCAGAATATAAATGCCTAACCAACATAGAAGACAATGACTAGAATATGGAATTCCAAACTTTGGGAGTCATGGTTTTCTAGAATTACACAGATGAATACCAGGGAAGTTACAGAGATGCTTCCTGAGTTAGATGAGTGGTCTCCTTCACCTCTGAGATCACATCATTCTGTGACTTTTTACTCCGCGAGGTCTGATACATTCTTCTGGGAGGCAATTTTTCAGCCATCTAGAATCTCAGAGATGTTTGACCAAAATAATCTGTTGAACGAGAGCTAGTGACAGACACTCTCCTTTCTGGGGAAGCAGGGCTGATGGTAGCTGGGAAGAACTGGTGACCTCTAAAGGAAAAGCAAATTTAAAGATATAACCATTCTTATTTCCACTGGAGAAATCACCATCATCTTGACATAAAAGTTACATTTCATCTAAAACCTATCATTTGTAAATAGAGCCATGGTTTTTCTGCTACTAGGTTTGGGCAGCTCGTCCCAGAGTTGTACTTTGCTCTGTGTGTGTCTATTTACTGCACAAACTGGTAGGTATAGTTTGGTTCAGATTTCCTACAGCCATATTATTTGGAGTGATAATTTCATCAAGCATTCAATTAAGTCAAAATGTATGGTTTAGAGAGATCATAAACATGATTTGATTTGAGTTTTGTTTTGTGAAAATTTTAAAAACGTTTTGAACCATGCACAGAACTTTCCAAGTAGGAAAGATTTGCGA